AGTATGAACTTCCTGTTAAATTCAGAGTCCAGTTCCAGGTCACCATTTCAACACCCTGCATGGAACTGTTCCTAGCTATTTGAGCGATTGTCTCTCCACATGACCACCACTTCTTTGATATCTAAGTTCCACTGGAGCAGTAAATCAGCTGGCAAATAAGGGATGGCTGATGACCTCTGGAGTCAGAAACTTCAGAGGAGATGGACCTCACTGTCAGATGCAATGAGAATGAACAACAGCTTCCATGCTTTCACAGCTAAGCACAAAACCCACTTCTTATATCCTCACATTCATAGTTATATATATCTGGCTCAAACCAACTAAACAACAAAAAGCAACCTCAACACCCAAGTCTTCTTGCTGGCAGGGAGAATGCAAGGTATAATTGTCATTTTTACTTATTGAAATTGCTCAGGTATTATGGTAATGGGACAATAGAAGACCCTAGGTAGATGGGGTAGATTTAACCAGGGCCAAAGGAAAACAAATAAAAATTGAAAACTAAGACAGAACCCCCAAGCAAAGAGAAGAAAGTAGCAGAGGTTTTCAACAGCAGGGACTTCAATCCTTAGACTATATGTGCTTGTAGGACTAATATGATACACACACAATGTGTAATATACCATGGTGGCCTGCCAAAGAAGGAACTCCTAATGAGTGCAAACCAAATTTCACAAAAAGGTCAGCCTGCATTCTGAGTGCTCACATGACAACCTCTCAGGCCAGCGTACATGCTTTGCCAGGTGGGAGAGGTTTCAGTTCCATGGATTTCCTATTGGAATTGGAATTGTGCTTACTTTTCCAAAAAGAAGTACCTATTTTCCAGAGTGTATGCTTCCTTTGGACCCACGACTGCACTGAGAAGTGTTGACATAATATATTTAGATGTCTGTAAGATGTTTAAGTTGATTAAAAAACTAAAATATAAAATTAACATGGCACACATTAAAGGATTAAAAATTGGCTAATTGTAAAAAAAACAGGGAATCATCATTGAGTGGGTCTATCTCCAGTGGGGTTCCCTAGTGTAGCATCAAGAGCTGGTCCCTATTTTACATCTTTCTCAATGACCTGAAAGAAAACAAAATCATCACTGATAAAATTTGCAGATGACCATAAATTAGGGGAGTGGTAAATAATGAAGAGGATAGATTACTGATTGACAGCAATCAAGATCGCTTGGTAAGCTGAGCACAAGCAAAGAATATGTGTTTTAATATGGCTAAGTGAAAACATACATATCTGAAAACAAAGGATGTAGGTAATAATTACAGGGAGACCCTATCCTGGGAAGCAGTGACTCTGAAAGAAAGCTTGGGGGTCTTGGTGGATAATCAGCTGAACATGAGCTCCCAATGTGATGCTGTAGTGAAAAGAACAAATGTCATCCTGGGATTCATAAACAGGGGGATCTTTAGTGGAAATAGAGAGGTTATTTTACCTCTATATTTGGCACTGGTGCAATTTCTGCTGGAATGCTATGTCCAGTTCTGATGCCCACAATTCAAGAAGGATAGTGATAAATTGGAGAGGGTTCAGAAAAGAGAAGCGAGCATGATGACATTAGAAAACATGCCTTATAGTGATAGACTCAAGGAACTCAAGAAGATACATAGGGAACAAATATTTAATAATTAGCTCTTCAATCTAGCAGAGAAAGGTATAACAAGATCCAATGGCTGAAAGCTGAAGTGAGACAAATTCAGACTGGAAATAAGGCATACATTTTTAACAGTCAGAGTAATTAATCATGAGAACAATTTACCAACGTCATGGTGGATTCTCCATCACTGACAATTTTTAAATAAAGTTTGGATGTTTTTCTAAAAGATCTGCTCTAGAATTATTCTGAGGAAGTTCTATGGCCTGTGTTACATAGGAGATTAGACCAGATGATCATAATGGTCCCTTCAGCCTTCGAATCTATGGGAATGGTACAAGCACACCTCTTTTCTCATATCATTCAATTTTGATGACCATAAGGACTCTGACTTTCATGAAATATGTTGGGGAGGAAAGGAACAAATTAGCCAAATGGATTATAAACAATAACTATGTAAAATACTACAAACTATGGGCTATAAAATAACTATTTTTCTCTATATTTTCATAAGTCTAGTTAAGTTACCAATAAACAGCTAACAATCTGGTCAAATTCTATTTTATTGATCAAACAACAAGGTATGCTAGAACATAAATAAGGTTGCTGAGTTTGATATTCATGTGGGTTTTATGGCATTAAAATGGACACAATTTATGAAGAAAAATGATAACAAAGGACAGTCAGCAAGTTTAAGGGCAAAGAATTAAGCACTCTTCCATGAAGCAAAATCTCATGCATAAAGAATTTAATCATAGAAAAATAATTTTAAAAAACAAACAAACAAAAACACAAGGGACTGAAGAACCCTCAATCCCAACTCACCATGCTGCCTACACTGCCATGCAATGTTGGACCATATCCAGCTCTACCCACAAACCCTACCCCCACCCTGCATGTTCCAATCCAGAGAGATGTCGTAGAGTTCTGCTCTGTGGCACTCAGGGTGATGCAGACTCTTGTTGTATTGCCTCTTTACCGACTGCCACCTCTCACATACAACTGAAATGCTTCACTCCTGCGACTTTGACCATTCTGGGGGTAGGTGGGGCAGGGAATTTGTTCTCAATATATTCAAATTACATGATATCAGATCATGCTTACTAAGATCTCAATCTGCAAACAAATACACATGAGCAACTTTACACACATGAATAGTGTCATTGTACTTAATGGCATCACTCATGTGCCTAAAGGTACTTGTGTGTTTGCAGGATTGGGTCCAAATATGAATTATTATGCATCTCACTGGGAGTCCTGAGTTCAGCCCCACCTGGGTGGAAGAACACAAGCAATCTTGAACAAACATTTTGTTGGTTGAAATTCTATTTGCTTCTCAATCAGTCAATGTTTAGAAAACCTGTGATTTTGGATTAGTCTCAACATAACTTTGATAAAAAATAATATTCAAGACACTGTAAAGTATTTGTTGTTAAAAGGAGATGTGTAATAACAAATGATCAGTTTAATATTGTCAGACTCACTAGATTATTATTTAATATTTATATTAAAGTAGTATCCAAAGGCCACAGCCAGATTTGTGTTGTTAAGGGACAATCTCTCACCAAAAAAGGGGATTATTGGAAGTTAAATTCCAAATTTGGAACATTGTACTGAGTCCAAATATGAAACAGAAATATTAAAATAATTCTTACTAAATGATATGACAATGATAGGAAATCTTTTTACAACAAATGCTAATAAAACACCTCTTCTAAAAATATACCTTCCACCAGTCAAAAAAGAAACTTCAATAATACTTTCAACTGTTGCATCAGTAGATTGCTACATTCAGCATAGCTGAAACATTGCTTTTGTATACCATAATTTTATTTTGAAATTGTAACTGTCTGCATACATTATGCTTCCCCAAAACTAGGTTGCTTAAAACAGTGGTAAAATTCACTTGCAAATGACTATGCCTCAATTTAAAATCTATTCTGGAACTGAAATTATATTCTTAAAAAACATCTTTTGGGGATGAAGAAAAGACAGTATCTAATAGAACACATAAGCTACATGGTACTTAATAGTATTTCAGTATTTGAAACTATACAGTTACTATGGCATAGTTTTTCCCAAAAACTTTAATACCTATGATGATATTCAGTGTAAGTGTCCTTTCAATCAAGTACCATATAGATCATTATAACGTGGCCTTTCCATGAACAACACATTATAGATAAGTAACTATTTAAAAGTTTGTTGTCTGAAATATTTTTACCATACAACATGTATGAAAAATGGACAATATAATTTGATAACTAGATGTTATATAAATAGATGTTATCCAAGCACAACTACAGGACTATACATTCCTAGGCAGTGCATCCCTTTTCTAGCTATAATCTTTACTCTCTCCGAAGTTCTCTAATCACATTAATTTTGTGCATACATGAAGGCAATTCTAGATAATATTAATTATATGGTATATTTTTCTCAAAACACTATTTTTTTAACTTCACTCAGAAAGTTAAGGTTTGCCAGACTTTGGGATAATATAAATCTGGAGGTGTATTATGGTTTACATTGCAAGTTGATGTAATCTGGGTGTAATGTGACTGTTTACCATGTGCAGCAAATCAGAAGACAACTAAACAACCAGTTTAAATGTCCACTAACATTAAAACTTGGGAAGGTTTACGATTCTTACCATTACCTCCTTTTTTTTCTTCTTCTTTTTTAGGGTTTTTACATAAATCCTCCTCTTAAGGTAACCAGCCATCCTGATATTATCAGGACTGTCCAAATATTAGGGGCTTTTAGTAGAATCCTATTCCCCCTCCCCAGGACCTTATTACCCCCAACGTGATTTTTCACACTTGCTATCTGGTCATCCTATCTCCTCTAGGGCCATGTACAATGATACAGCCATCCAAATCACCTGAACGCATTACAACAGCCAGTTCTCCAGAGGCAGTTACCAATACTTTTTGCATGGTTGTCACACTGCATATTTAATACAATCAAATAAAAAAAAATAGTGTGAGAGCAGGGGTATGCAATATATTCACTGTCTACCTACCCAGCCACTCGGAAACGGATAGTATTGCCGGTGGTAGCAATGGAATGGATTTATCCATGTTCCCTCGCACACGTAGGAGCTACCTAGTTTGGATAACATTCTAATCCAGTGGGAGTGTGTATTTGCATGCTCACGCATCCACACTACAGAGAATTGCATACGCCCAAACTACATTATTTACAGGGTCACTTGCTTCCCGAAAAGAAAGAGGAAAAGCTTAATAACAATCCAAGTTTTCACTCAATTAAATACGCAAGAGGAGCCCTTCCCCATCCTCCCAACAACATCACAGGACGGGTAGGAGCCGAACCCCGAGGGGAGCCCGGGGAAGCTGTGGCCGGAAAGGGGGGTGTAAGCAGGGTAAAGGGGCTGTACCTCCAGATCTGCCCGAGCTGCAGGATGTGGATGAGGGACTGCAGGAGCCAGATGCAGAAGGCGCAGGAGGCGGACCTGCTCTTGCCGGCCCTGCCGCCGCTGGTGCTGCTGCTGTTGCTGCTGTTGGTGGCCGTGGTGGCGTTGCTTTTGCTGGCGTTGGACGCCTGCCTCTGCGGCGTGCAGGGGCGAGGGGCGTCCATGTCCCCGGCCGCCGAGCCGCTGCTCACCAGCAGTTTGCTTTCGGCTGCCGGGCAGTGGCCAGCAGCTGCGGCGGCGGCGCTGTCCTCGGTGCTGAAGTCGTGCACGAACCAGCGGAAGCTGAACACCTGCACGGAGAGGGAGCCGAGCAGCACGAAGAAGAGGGTCAGCCCGAACCACCAGCGCTGGCCCCGCAGGTAGTAATCGACCGCCAGCCAGATGTCGGTGCCCACGTCGGCGAAGTACACGGCCAAGGCGGCCAGGATCCACAGGCAGTCCCACAGCGAGTAGCGCCGCTGCTCCCGGCCCAGCCGCAGGCACAGCGACGATGAGCCCCCGCCCGAGCCCCGGGAGCCGCCACCGCCACCTCTTCCCCCACCACCGCCGCCGCAGCAGCAGCTGGGGCCGCCGCCCGAGCCGTCCCCGCCGCTGCCGCTGCAGCAGCCGCCCCCCGGTGCCTCGTCGTCGCCGCCGCCCGGTACCGCGCCCGAGGGCAGCCCCGGGGCCAGCGCCTGCACCGAGCCCGAGTGGTCCGAGTTCTGCAGCGGCGTGAACGCCACCTCGCCGCCCTTCTTCATCTTCAGCCGCCCGTCCGACTTCGCGGCCATGATGCCTCCGCCCCGCCGCCGGGGAGAGCGCGCCTTTATCCCGCGCCTCCCCCTGCTCCTCCCCCGCCGCCGCCGCTCCGCTCCCCTGCCCGGCTACGGGCGCGGGCCGCCGGCTCCTCCCGGGGCCGCAGCGCCT